TACCTTGATTTGTTCTGCAAATATCTGTTGGAATTCTTATACCTATTATTTTATAAGCTTAATAAAATCTTATCAAGCTCTAAGAGTAAGTATATTTTATTAAAAATATACTTATTAGATATGCCCTTTATAAAATTAATCTTGAAAGTATTTTGATATATAAAAATACTTTTGATAAATAAAATAAAAATAATTAAAGTCTTTAATCTTTGGTCTTATAAACAGTTAAGTCAATAAATAATAATAATTTGTTAATACAAATAATTTTTTTTAAAAAAATTTAGCTACTATATATGAGTTATCTTTAAAAATTTTAGCTTATAATTCCAATAATGAATTAAATCAAATGTTAACTTATTTAAATGAACTTCATTTACCATATAATATCTTATCAATTCTATTTAGTAACAGTTTTTAAAAATTAATAAAACTACTATATTTATTGCTTATTTTTTATTGTGAAGTTCTTAATAAGTTACAGTTAAATACTACTCATCTTTATAAAGTATTACAACCTTTCTGTGAATCTTGAAAATGTGAAAAGAAAATAATAATAATAATTTGTTACAACATATAATCTTATAGTTAAAACAAAGATAAAAACAATAAGAACAGTTATTGTTACTATTGGCCTTTTTTTAAATCCAAATATTTGTGATATATAGTTTAATACTAATACTAAAAATTTAAATTTTATTTATCTTGCTCAGTTTATTTTATATTATTATAAAGTATGGTTTGGATATTAACCAACTTGCATTCTATTTGAGTTTGTAGAATATAAAAAATATAGATATCTATTTGACTATGCAACATATAAACAGTTTAAAGGAAATAAATTGAAATTTTAAAAATTTGTCTCTTCATTAACTAAAGAATTAGGTCTCTTGGCTATAAGGTTATTTGAAATTTGTATTAATGCAACATCATTTGAATAATTATAGAGCTCAATAGAGTTTCTTCAAACTAATTGATAATGTTGTCTCAAGGCAAATGTTATTTATTAAAGTTTTTTTTTTAAAAAAATTAATAATAATAATAATAATTTTTTTAAATAAAGAATGATAAAGTACAAACTATAAGCCAAATTCATGTTTTAATTAATTTTTTCAATAAAAGAAACAATAAATCTTACAATACCTCATCTAATTGGACAAATAAGTTAACTTATTTGCAAGAATGAATTAAACCAAGTAAATTAAATAATCTAGCTAAACTAGGCAAAGATGAACAAAGTGATTTAGATGTTACTTCTGATAGTTGGAAAAATTAGTTGAATAATTGAAAACAAATGTTGGAAGACAAGGAAATTGTAAGATTATAAGAAAAAGATGTAAATATAGAATGATAATTGTAACTTAAATAATGATTTATTAAATAACTATATACATTCTGCAGTAGATCCTAAAGCTAAATAAAATTAACAAATCTATTTGGTTTATTATTTAAAAAACTAAGTTATATGAAAATAGATTAGTTTTTTTTAATTTTAATTTAGAGTGCAGTGGTATACTTTATTAGTTTTTAGATAGATTTTATAAATACTAAATAAATAATATGCTAAACTTTGACTACATTATAAAAAAAAATACTTGCTGACAAATGATTCTGTTACTATATTTATATAGTTTTTTGATTTTATAATTTTCTACTAATATTTTCTGATTGGCTAATATTAATATTATATATTAATATCTTAATTCTTATTTAATTCTTATTGGCTAATATACATCTGTTTCAGTGAAATAACTATTCTAGTAAAAAATTATTATTAGAATTACTAAAATACTAAAAAAATTTAAATGTTCAGCAGAGTTCTAGCTTTTAGTTAACAATACTGACCACAAGAACTTATTTTAGATTTGCGCTGACTGGTACAAGTTTGCATACTTCTGTATAATCAAAATTATACAAATGTCTTATAACTTGCAAATCATATTAGTGTAACTATAGTTACAGATATTTTATCTTAACTGATCAACAGATTACTATTGCTATAATATGCATATAACTACTATAATACAAATATTACATAAATAATTTTTTAAATTTTCATTGTTAATAGGTTTTGAACTCTTAATCTACTATTTGGAAGATTAAAAACTTATCTACTTTACTAAGTTACTATATCTTTTTAATATAAAATTAAATACTGCTATAATATAATTCTTATTTCCAAATATTATTAAATAAAATTTATTTAAATATTTTAAAATTTAAAAAAGTAGATTAAGAAATATTAAATTAATATTTAAACTAAAAAAATTTTTTTTAATTAGTTAACTAAATTAAAATATTTTATACTAATTGATTTAACTAGTTAAGATTATTTTACACTTATTTTTAAAAAATTTTGAAACTTTATTTAAAATTTTGTTTTTATCTTGTTTATCTTTTATGTTTATTTATTTTTTTTAATTTTTTTTAAAATTCTTGCTTATTTACAATTTTTTTATCTAATTATTGATTCTTAATCAGTTGTATAGATTAATTAATTAAGAATTTACTCAACTAGTTACTTGAAATTTATTTGGTTTAGATCAATTACTAATTATAACTTAACTAATTTAAATCTCTATACTAGACTATCTGAGTTAGTAATTTTGAAACATTCATTTAGTATTAAGTAAGAGGATTAGTAAAAAATAATAAATAAGATATTTAAAAAATAGATATTGAAGTTTAGATAAACTTTACAAAAATAAAAATAATGTAACTTAGTAGTTAACAAAATATCTATAATTGTAAGTTTTTTTTTTTTTAGTGTTAAAGTGACCTTTTTGGTCTTTTGACTTTTATTAATAACTTTTTGATAATATAATTTAATGAACTACTACAGGAAAGTATACAATTAGCTATACATATAACTTTTCTATATTATTTATTTAAGAAGTTCATCTAAAATTTTTCTATTAATTGCTATATTTAACATCTTTGCTTGAATGTTTTACTTTAAATTCTCTAAATCTGTAAGTTGTATTAACTTACTAAATCATATTCATATATTCAGATCATTATCTTAATCTTAAGATTATTTTATTCTCAAAATAAACTGTCTAAAGCTTTTTGTACCTATTTTTATAACTAATCTAGATATCACTATAGCAAAGCCAATACTTACAATCAAAATTATATCATTTAACTGCTATACCCTTGTAAAGTTTACTTAAACCTTAGTATCTACTTTATAACATATTCTTAGTACTTTAGTATAGCTCTAAATTTTGCTAGACTCCTAATTTATATATTCTGTATAGGACTATGATCAGTCTATTAGTATATTAGGTCAATCTAATATTCTTTTCTTTTAGTTTATTTTGGCAATCTAGTTAGTGATACCTCTAAGACTCTCAACTCAAAGGTTCTTGCCTGTTTAATTACTAAGATCTTGATATCTATTTTTAGTAATCTAATCTTTATAGTAATACTATTAAAAATCTGGCTATTTCTTTACTTGAATCTTTTCAAATAAACTTCTTATTATCTAATTTCAACAAATTTACATAATCATAAGGACTTATTTAGTGTTTAAACCATTCAGTTGTCAGTTTGCATTCTCTATATAATTTCAATATTGTACAGATGTCTTATAACCTGTCAGTTATACTAATACAACTACTATTATAGGTATTCTAATCTAATTATTAGTAACAGTTACTATAATACAAATATTACATAGGTAATTATCTAAATTTTTGTCATTGATAGAATTTAACACCTAATCTACCACTTAGAGAGTTGACAATCTGACTACTTTACTAGGTCACTATATCTTTTTAATTGCAAATATTAATTTAATTAAAATATATTATATAAAACTAAATTAGTTATATATATATATAATATGAAAAACTCTAATAATAATATTTTTAAAAATATATTGCATAAAATAAGATATAATGTTCTAAGGATACAAGTAAGTATTTAAACTTTTGACTAACATATATATTAAAGATGTTTTAGAAATATAATAAGAATTGCAATACAAAAACTTTAAATAAACGATGTTTGTAGTTGGCTTACAAATATAACAACTAATATAAAATTATAAACAAACTACTTAAATTAGACAACAAAATGTACATGTAATTAGTTGTACTTTATAATATAAAAATAACTTTATTAAAACCTTGATTATAAATTTTTATATTTTATAATATTAAAAAATTTTAATCTTAAAAAAAACTAGTTTAATAAAAAAAAAACAAAAATTAAATAATAAAATGATTAATAATATTAATTAGTTACTAGATTTTAGTTATAAAAATAAATAAAAATAGTAAATTGTATAAAATATTAGATATCTGAACAATAGTATAACTATAACTAATAAAAGCTAATAATACTATATTTTTTAAATAATATTTATATTCTATTTGGATGTAACAAATTTTAATTATATTACAAATTAAAAAAAAAAAACAAAATTCAAAAAATTTTGATAAAAAAAGAATTAAATAGTTCAAAAATAAATAATATTAAAAAATATTATACGTATTGAATTTTGTAACACCCAAAGATATGCAGGATATACGTATTAATATTATTTTATAATAAAAAATATTGTACCATGGCAAAAAATGGCATGATCACAATATAAACGTACGTACTACGTAATGCGTATATTTGGGGTTGTGTAAATCAAATTTACGCATGCATCATGTAAATTAATGCTTTTTTACGCATGATGGCCACGCATATTTGTAAAACCCGGATCTAACCTTGAATTTGGCTAATAATAGGCGCCAAACCTTCTATCCTGTGATTATCAATCATTTGTAACCTTGCGCCTAACGCTTAAATCCAAAATCTCCCGTTGCCAGTTAATATTTACTAAATTGTAATAATTGTGTCATTATATAATCACTTGAATAAGTTATATTCACACGCCGAAAACTTATAAATTGAACATCAACTCATATTTTTCCCATCAAAATTAAAAAAAAAAAAACTTGAAAACTTGATTGATTGATAATTCAAACCAAAGAAAAAAATTCAAAATGAAAGGACCTCTTAAAGTTACCGTTGGTAAATATCAATTTACAAAATAAAAGAATTTAGGGCTTTTTTGCATGAATCATAACATGAAATTTTTTTTTATAGTTGAAGCCAAAAACTTGAAAGATGAGGACGTTTTAGGAAAAAGTGATCCCTATGTTGAGCTCTGGCTCGACAAAAATTATAAACAAAAGACTACAACCAAAACCAACACATTAAACCCACAATATAATGAAACTTTCACCTTGTAACTATCTATAAATTTTATTAACAACTAAATTAATATGATCATTTAATAATTTCAATAATCATTATCTTTCTATATAGTCATTGCGACGGGCACAGACACCTTCACCTCAGAGTAGTGGACAAAGACATGATGTCAGATGATGAGGTAATTATTGTTATTCGTTTAAACAACAAAAGACATTCATAATTTTTAACGTGCTTATTATTAGATTGGCACGGGTCAAGTCAATCTTAGCGATATCAAAAATGGTTTTGCGGAAGTATGGGTCAAGCTACCTAAAATGCTTGGTTTGATGAGCAACGGGGAAGTTTTTTTGAGATTGGAAACCGCTGCATAATTATTTTCTGATTTTCTTTAACCAACTTCTGTGAAAAATAAAACATGCGGATGGTAACAAATCGATGTCCGATTGTCAATAATATAGTTTATTTTATTGTTTGTAAAGTATTATTTCGGAATTGCATTAACGATAAAAAAGAAATGAAGTTACTATGTTATAGTTTTAAAGCAAAAAAAAATGGTTATAATAAATTCTGGTTATTGAATATTAACGAATAAGTTGGTTCAAAATTTTGTAAATGCAAATCATAACTATCTTCGTATGCTTAATGACGACTTAGTGAGAGTATGTGAACGGGATAGAAAGCTTGGGTAACTCAGTTTTTATTAAATTTGAAGTTCTTGCGTTGCTTTACAACATATTTCCTTCATCCCTATGAATCTCACTATCGAATTCCACAACGAAATTTGCAACTTGATTAAGACACAAAAAATTCAATTCTGATGTACATTCCCTTGACAAAAGTCATGGGCTTGTAAATATTGAAATTTTTACGCTATAAGAAAATCTAAAATTTTTAATATCAAATAAATTTTTAATTTATATTATTACAACACTCATCGAGTATAGTTTCAGTAAAATGTTTAAATTTTTTTAAAAAATGTCAGTCTAATCAAGAAGTAAACTTTTTAAATGTTTATAAGTTTTAATTACAAAAATTTGAAAGGGCTTATTTTTCGATAAAACTGACGTTTTTAAAAAAATTTAAAAATTTAAGAAAGCATTTTACTGAAACTATAATTGATGAGGATTGTATTAATTTAAATTAAAAATTTATTTGATATTAAAAATTTTAACCTTTCTTATAGCGTAAAAATTTCAATATTTAAAGCCCATGACTTTTGTCAAGGGAGTGTACCTGTGGTCAGTGTTCTTATTGAACTGTTCGGCGAACAACAGGGTTGGGGGCACGGTATTCCAGGGCATGCCCTTTTTCAAAAATTTATATCGATACAAAAAATTTTGGGAGCATGCCTTTAAAACAGAAAAACTGAAGGTATGCACAAAAATTTTTCCGTCCGCAACCATAGCGAACAGACGTTCTCACTCTTATACTGCTTACAAATTTGTAAAAATATATATATAAACTTTAATCCTGTTTTTAAAGAAGTTATAGGATCCTGAAATATTTTGATATAGGTCAGGTTAAAGTTTGTGTAAATTTCGCAAACTTACGACAAAGAACTGCAGTCTAAGATTTTTATTGAATAAGCGCGAAAACGAAATGTCTGGTCATGTGATCTCCTACCCTTCCGAACCTTCCCCAGCATCGCCGTCAAAATGAGGTAGGACCGCCCAAATATGGGGGACGTCTAAAGCGGAAGCAACTTATATATAAGCAAATTTGCTTTTCTAACATTTTTGATTAACTTACTGAGGTAGGTTTAGACTGCCATTTTTTGTATTTGGGACGATCACAGCAAAAGGTGACAATGAGTCAAAACTTTTGATTCTGTAATTTTATAAAAATTATATGCATAATACTCAAGAAATTGTATTTTTAATAAAAAAATTTGGAAATTATAATTTGGTGCACTGGTACATCATGGTGCATCTAATTTATTTTTTAAAAGTGAAAAACTCTTTCCTGTAGATCCCAAAACAATAAGTAAACAAAAAAGAAAAATCACAAAAACCTAACTAACTAAAGGACAGGATAATAATACTAACTGCAGACCAATCTGCGATCTTCTATATACTAACCTAAAACAAACTAAGATACATCATTACAAGAAACAAGAGGAAATGCAAATCCAATACTGAAAACAAAAAAAATACTCAAAGGCTTTTAGGGTCTATAGCTGATTTTATTTTTATAACAACACAAATTCTTAACATGCAGAATAGTTATAAATATTCTAGCAGACAACAGAAACAACCTTAACACAACCAAGCTCCTTATAATCAACTTAACAAAAATGACAAAGATACTACAAACAAGTGTCAAAAGACCTTGATACCATCGTTAAAACAAAACAACAATAGTGGGAAAAGTAGCTTACCCCTATCTAACAGCCACGTGATTGCATGCACAATCAACTACAGTAACAACACAACAAAACAAACAGGTTTAATCAACAATAAAACTGGTTTTACAGATAACAATAACAACTATGTAACAATCACACAAAACAACAACTCTCATATTACTGTAAATGATATACAAACATAAGCACATAGTTCCAATATGAAAATGGAAATTGCATATGCAGCATAGCATACTCTAGAACCAATTGACACCAACCACCAAACTGAGCCTTTCTAAACAGAGATGCATCCTGACCAAAACATGAAAATTGAGTCTGTTAACACATTACTAAGCACTAGAAACTCAATAGAGAACGATATACAAACTAGATGTATATACAGCCAAGCAGTTAAAGGTGAAACAATAGTAGACACAGATCCAGAAAGTGACACAGACTACATGCAAATGTGGACAGAACAACTAAATCAAAACATAGATGAGAAAATATCAGACCTCTTTGATCTAACACTCTGAAATTACCAACTTACAACAGAAGCTTTTCAATCAAAAAAAAAACTACAAGAACTTATTACATATAAATTTAAGACCAAACCTGCACAACAAATACTACCATATGCAATTGAATCTAAATTTAGACATACGGATCACACCTTCTTTACTACTTTCACAAGAGTCAAACACTTCATGTCTCAACACCAAATAGAGTACAAAAATCTATTCACAAATGCAATACCAAAATACAAAACTGAAAACAAAATAACCATCATTGACAAACAAGCAAGAGACAAAATACATCTCAAACTTTATAAAAAACTGTACATCGATCACATCACCAATACGAACTTCAACACATATTCACAAAAGCACATATACCAACTACTAACATATTATAAAGACTTTGAAAGAGATGGAAAAGCAATAGACAAAAAAGATATATAAGAGGCAATTGCAGAATCAACAAAAAGCAAACTACAAAAACTTCCTGACACACCAATGAGAATCTCAGATGAGATAAAAGCCATTCTACCATTCGAACTTCTAATAAAACTCAAGTCACAAACAAAAGCCGTAGTTACAGCATTATACAGGATTTTCGAATTTGAAAAGCTACCACCTATCTACTTTATCGAACTTCTACTGTTACCACATAATGTAAATGATCTAGATTACAAAATTAAACACCTTTTCCAATAACAGAAAGAAGAGAACTAGGAAGACTCGCATATTATAGAAAATGTCTACAAGAAGTTTATAGCTTCGACAAAATCCCAGATCACTTCTTCAACTTACCTCCACCAATGCCAGACAAATCAGCACTCCCATCTGCATATCAAGATATAGAAGATCCTCGACTAAGAGCATGCTTTCCAATCGACAGAGCTAATCAGGATACAAATATGCAAGATATCATTACAAGACTTAGAGAATACTATACCTTTCAAAATATCCCAAATGACTACTTCTTAGTAAAACCCAGTCTGCCAAAAGATCCAAGCAGAATC